TTTCGTTATTACTTTGATTTTTACCAATCCCTGCAAACTAAACTATTGTAGGAATTGGCGATGTTCTGTATAATTTCTAATATACTAAAAATATCTTGAATTCGTACTCAGGTCGTGATGAAAGGCCATTCAGTTTCCAGGCCAAGAAGCAACATGTGTAGATATATATGTATAAACGATCACATATTAGGGTGGTTATGATTTTTTTTTCCAGTTTACCTAATTTTTGAGGAAAGTGAGTTTTATCAGGAACAGTCTAGGGCATTTAGGTGATACTTTTGTTCGTCTGTCATGCGAGGTCTGCGAACCATACTAGTAGGCCTAAAGTAAATCTCAAGTTTTCCTGGAAGTGTGTCTGTGACGGGTTTTAAATCTTAGAGTCAAAAGGCTTTAAAGGTTTTACAGTCTAAAGGATTTAAACGTATTAAAGTATAAAGGTTTAAAAATTTAAAGTCTGAAGGTTTTAAATTCTAAAGTCTAAAGTTTTAGATTTTAAAATCTAAAGCTTTTAGATTTTCAAGTATAAAGCTTTTAGATTTTCAAGTATAAAGCTTTTAGATCTTAAAGTATAAAGCTTTAGATTTTAAAGTATACAGCTTTTAGATTTTAAAGTATAAAGCTTTAGATTTTAAAGTATAAAGCTTTTCGATTTTAAAGTATAAAGCTTTAGATTTTAAAGTATAAAGCTTTTAGATTTTAAAGTATAAAGCTTTAGATTTTAAAGTATAAAGCTTTTAGATTTTAAAGTATAAAGCTTTAGATTTTAAAGTATAAAGCTTTTAGATTTTAAAGTATAAAGCTTTTAGATTTTTAAGTATAAAGCTTTTAGATTTTAAAGTATAAAGGTTTTAAATGTTAAGGTCTAAAGATTCTAAAGGCTTAAGCACGTGCAGCTTGAGTTACCGGATCAGTGGGTGACACGAAAGTCTCGACAAGAACCGAGGTCACGTTGGTGTGCGCGAAAGGTCACATCTACTTGGGTCAACGCATTACATAGTTATATTCAAGTTACATTCAACTCAGATGCCTTTCTTCTTTTTAGGAAATCGAGAGTCAAATTGAGTTACGTCGAATCAAAGATATAAGGCTGGGGGCATTTTTCCAACAGTCACTTCGATAATAACATTGATTTTGATAGCAACAATTTTTATCCAATAGCCAAAATGATGGTATTAGAAGAGATAATGATCATCAAGAGGATGTTAACAATAATGATCATGATAATGATGGTAATAATGATAACAAAACGATGGTGAAGGTGAGGATGAAGATAAAGATTTATTGAAGAAAAACAGAATAACGATAATAATTATACTAATTATCGTTATTGCAATAGTAGTAATAATAATGATGATAATGACGAAGATGGAGATAATGGTAAAAATATAATGATAATAATAATAATAATAATATATATATATATATATATATATATATATATATATATATATATATATATATATATATATATATATATATATATATATATATATATATATATATATATATATATATATATATATATATATATATATATATATATATATATATATATATATATATATATATAT